TGTGTGTGTGTGTGTGTGTGTGTGTGTGTGTGTGTGTGTGCAGGGAACGGAAGAGTTCGAACATTAAACAAATGCGATTAATTTGACATGTCTGGCGTTTCGATTATATGTGCACATCCAATTCGTGTAACACGAACACTCACAAACACAGACCACATACTTTGTTGTATTGTTTGATTTCTGTATACAGTCGCTCGTTTTCACGTTGATATCCAGCAATCAGTTGATCTTGACGTTCCAATTCGCTTTGTAATCGGGCAATCTGCTCGCTCGCCTCGTTGGTTTCGTCCGGTTGACCAGGACGTGTCGAGGCAGCGTTCAAACGCGGGCTTGTATTCGATGCGGACTGGAGACGTGAGCTGATCGAATGAGCCGTTTGGTCCACCGAGTTTCGAGTGTTCTGGAGGGTGAGAAGGCCGGGGGTAGTGGTGATAGTGGTGGCGGAAGTCGATTGGAATAAGATAATACCCATCAGATGGATGGTAGTTTTAAATAACCGGATATGCCCAACATCTGTACTCATTGAATTCGTTTTATTTAGGTCTCATTATTATGTTTTTTTTCTAGATCCGAATACTGTAAGGTAGCATCGTTCTACAAAGGCCTTCTGAATGAAGGTGTCGGTCATGAGGGTGATTTGTGTATGATTTTTCCGAAACCAGCACATAATGAACGATAATCGATTTGGAAAACAGCATAAGCTCAGTTCAGTTTTTACAACCATTAACAGTGTACCTTGTTGCGGTAGTTTTAGTTCCTGTCTCATAACTGTCCATTTGGATAAAAGAGTAGAAGGGAGACTGGAATGTTGAGAGTAGCGTAAAAGAGAGCTTAGAAAGAATTTTGGCAGACTAAGGTGGCATCATTACTGTGTAACGATAAGGAGTTTTGCTTGAAAACAGTGAAATGAACGATATAACAAAGACACTGTAGGCAGACATCTGGGTGTTCAACTTAACAGGGAATTAAGTGGGCCCTTAGCAAACCGCAGTAGTCTCTTTGGTGGTGGATGAGGCTTAGTTCTGGGGCCAAGATAATTTCACACGTTTTTGTGTTAAAGTTGTATGTTACACGTGAGAAAAAACAACCCTAGTAGGAATCCCATTTTTCGTGTACCACCTACATTTTAATTTGTAATCAGTGTACTTATTTCCGATCGCTGTGACACGCGGCACGTACAGATCAGTTCGGACTCTTCGACAGACAGTATATTTATCTGTGTCAAAGAATACGGTGAAAGATTTCCAAGCCATCCCGGCCGATTGTTATCTGTTACCAAAATGGTCCGAACAGTGCACTACGCTGGTCACTGATCAACGCAAGACATGCCAACTCACAAGCACAGTTGAAAAACAACACTGAAATCGTTATCTTACAACCACACATAGGTGGAGTGATCCTACTGACGAATCAAATAAGGAGAGAGATGTAGTAAAGTTTATGTCAATCTTAAAATGAGAGCAAGAAGTTCACAAAGAACTAGAAAGGGGGAAACAATTCAACCTGACAGCGGAAGCACACGTATTCAACTGCCTCAAGATTTTCAGAGATCCAAAACAGTTATTAAAATCGGTATGTGGTACTCATATCCCTCGTTGATACGGTTTGCCAAAAAGTGCAAAAAAACGACGACCGGTATATCCGATATGGGGAATTCTCTTGATCATTCAACAGGACGATGGCTAGTAGAGAATCGGAAACCAGCAAGAACGCAAATCTCGTGACATATTCATACAGATACGTCCAAGTTCGTCAAATCGATTCAAGCTGTTAAAGTTCAATAATTTATAATGGGTTCATTCGACTTACAGTCATTGTTTACGAACGTTTCGCTAATTAAAGGGTACCGTATCTAGGTCTGTATATATAGGAAGAAGACGTAACGATTGGAATTATCACAAGAATCATAAGAAACCTTTTTTGTGGTGCTCATTCAACGTCCAATTTCTTTTAATGAAGAGATTTACTGATGGAAAAATAGTGTAACCATGGGATATCCATCAGGCCCAAATTGGAAGATACTTTTGTTGAAAAATGGGAACATAATCAATTGGTAGGCATCACAAAACAATTATCACTGTAATGTAGTTATTTTTTTACAAAATTTCCATCCGCCTCAATCGGACCATTTTACCCGACCTATTTTTTGAGTCTTTCAGCCGAGCCCAAGCTTCCACTATTCTTACCACGGAGATGTAGGAAAGGAACAAAGTTCATTTTCTTCATATAAAGCTGAAGTAGTCGAACGATGAACAGAAATACCGTCTGACACACAGAAAAACAGTCAATATGTGCAATTCCTTCATACCATGTTCGGCACTGTGAGCTGGCCGAATTTGTTTCACATACGTAATTGAAGAAAAAGTTGAGAAAATCAAACAAACACTTGGCAACGAGGGTCACCCAGAGAGGGTGATACAGAGACAACACTGAGAAAAAAAACAGACAGCACTAGCAACAATGCCGGAAAGAAAAAATCTATTCATGCAATTAATCGTCAAAGGTGACGTGAGCAGTAAACAAGAAACGATTAGAAAAGACATATCCGGCTGATTATCGTAAACAGTGGCGTTCGTGCATCTTCTGAATTTCTCCGCAACATTAGTCCAGTTAAATTATAAATTTTCTCTTTGATCCCACTTTCAACCTTTTCTGTCTTTCTCCTAATGTTCATCCAAACGGGCAGCCAAAGGACAGCAACCAAAACCGGTGCACGATAGTGCATGGTTAATGGTTGTACAAACTGAACTGAACTGAACTGAACTGAACTGAACTATCCGGTAGATACGCTAGGTACACCGGCTGACAATCTGCAAGAATTTCAAAGATGCGCTGATTGTTCCATTGCTACTTTGTCCTTCGCTCCTACCAGTTCGACAAGATGAAGTGACAGGGTGACCGGTTCAGAGAATGAAAGAGCACAGCACCAGCACAACTGAGTAATGAAGAGGAAAGGGCATCAATGCGAATACGCGGTACAATCGTGGTCCACTTTGCAGAATTTGGACATCAAGTTGAAAGCGATCAGTTCAAAGTCATGTACCATTAAAGCGGTCAATTTCCGTGTGTCATGGCAAATTGGGAATGGCAAAAGTGATGGCATTCCGACTGTTGATCTCATCATCGCATGTGTACAAACCAGACCGGTCCGTAGCATTTCAATCGACCTGGCCTCAATCGGATTTGAATTTCATCCAATTCAAACCAATTTCTATTTGTGTAGTGCGTAAACAAGCTTGCTGATTTACAATTGGTTTTCTAATTTCCAAATGGGGATTTTTCGTGAAGTTCATGATTATTGTTACTGTGATTATTAATTAAAAAAACCCAAAATGAATGAATAAATCTTACCTGAAATCGTGTGATCACATTTTGTAAACGAAAAAGCTCCGCGTCATACGAACTGCGCAGTTCGGCTTCCCGTTTCGTCTGTTGTTCACGCAGCATGGCCACTTCGGACTGGAGTTTGAAGGTCTGATTTGTGATGGTGTATATATAGAAACATGCATTCGAAATAGGAACGTACAACAACAGAATTCAAGTGTACCGTTTGAGTGCAAATAAGTATATGTGTGGGATCCAAGATTTTATCACTTAGTAGCTCGGTTTGCATTGCGATTACGGTAGATATAAAAAGAAGGGTGAGGTATCCGTATGATTATTGTACGATCAATATTTCCCTCTAGGATTAAAGAGTAACTTAAGGATCAGCTGTTTTGGGTTCTTTGGTTTCAGATCGATGCTTACCGAACGAGTTAATTCAAGAGTTACTCAATCACCACAAAAACTCAACTAATTAGGCTACATATAATCCGATCCTAGGATGATAGGATGCACTTTTATCATATGCAGAGAAAATGATACATGAACTGAAAATCCCTGAAGCACTGCACAGTTAATTCAAACCTACTGCGTATCATCAGCGGTGCGCTTTAATCAACCGAATAGAGAATCTAATTCGGAACCTCACAGGAAGAATGCAGGCATACTGTTATAATAAAACCTTTTTACTTAACCCATGCAAAATACAGCCCAACTGATTTTCGAGCTTGTTTGGCGCATTTCACTTTGCTTATCCGACTATTAGCCGAAAATATTCAGAGCACGACTTCGATGTTTTCTTGTTCTTCCATCCCCGTTTCCTCAACTTTGCGTGTGACGTAATTCATCCGATAATCGAATTATATCCTTCACCGTTCCCTTGGAATTCGGAATTGTTTTATTCACCCAACTATTCAACATTGCGGTTTGTTTTCACCGCGAAAAATGAAACAAAATTGCAGTATTTGATTTTATCCACACACCACACCAGTGCATCCCTCGTACACAATCTGTTGTGTTACCACTGGGGATCTATATATAGTTTGCGGAGTATTGTAGTTCTCATTACTTGTACTTGTGATTGGTGGTGCGGGGATAGATAGGTCTTACATTTGTTTGGATAGCCCAGTCTTCCGACTTCAAGCACAATACTCACTCAGTTCAATCAGTCAATCACCATTCATGGCCAGTTCAAATGACCATCACCTATCCCATACCAATAATGACAGTGCACTGTGACTGAAATTTAAGTAAAATCTAGTCTGACAGATTCAGCTAGGGCAATTTTGCCCAAACCTGAATGGAAGACCTGATTTGATGGGAGACCATGAGTTAACCGCTAGCCAACTGTCTCTATTTGTTGGTTTTGAGCCCAACCGACAATCACTGAAGATGACATGTGCAAAACATCAATTGATAATCTTGGTCAATCTCGGTGTGTGAACTGGTTGGCACAGTGCCAGCACAAACGCCTTCCACGAGAGTGGTTCAAAGTTCAAACCCCGGACAGGTGTTGGTTCTGTACAGCAACAAAAACAACAACAAAAAAAACCACTACTACTA